AACTGCGCGTCTAAATTAATACGGACATTCCTGGATAAGAACATCATACTGAAATATGTAGAAATTTCATCCATTTTTTCACAATTGAAAGCTGAGAAAATGTAATTCCTGTTTAGGATTTGAAGTTCTCACAAAGGTGGCTATGAAGAGTTCTGTCTTCTGGGATATGAAAACAATTAGTCCCTTAAAATTGGCCGACGTTTCGGAGGACTGTGTCACCTATGTCTTTGTCAAACACAATATAAAGGATGATTTGAACTGAATTGTTGCTAATATTTGTGGTTTATTTTGCCACGTCGGTATTTAAACTGTATAGCTTCGAATTGGAAGATGGTTCATGGCTGATGAATTGGAATAGACATAGAAGGAAACAGTCGTTTCCTTAATTGAGATATCCCGGAATTTGCCTGGAGGGCCTGAGGAAAACAAGGACAAATTTAATGAAATTCGAACCTGACTCCCCCACAGCTNCACGGGTTCAAGTCCCAATGAGGTCATTGGACTTTTTTCAATTGACCTAATCCTTCCAGCCGCACTATCCCCTTGGGGTCGACTCAGCCTCTAACAGAAATGAGTACCAGGAATTAATTAAATAATTTTCCTGGGAGTAAAGCGCAGCCGGCGCGTTAGGTTGACAACCTTACCGCCATCTTTGCGCCGATTGTCTATATAATGTGGGAGCCTCGACGTCTCACAATCCTACGGGCCTCCACGGCATGTTACAGGGATAGCTTTACTTTTTTTACTTATTAATTATTATTATTATTATTATTAGCAAAGGCGTAAAGCGAACTGACAACTTGTGAGTGAAGTGAATTCCAAAGAACGCAGTTTCGAGACGTATTTCTTTCAGAGGAACAAGCTTGCCAGACTCTGCTTGGAACTTTGCTCGTACTTCTGCCACTTACTAAACTAATCTTATTCATGTACTTCTTTTGGCTTATTTTGGACTTCACCCATCGTCCGGTATATAAAAGACAAAAAAACCCACGACGTTTCGGAGACTGGATCTGTCTCCGTCTTCAGGTGTATAGGGAAGGGTAAACCTGCTCAGGCTTTCAAGTCTATCTAATCTTATTCATGCTAATTTATTTCTCATACTTTTTTTTATTGTTAGTGGGCTGGGACTAAGTCCTTTGTACTGCAGCCACTTCTGGCCTATTTTACCAGCCCCAGATGATAGGTGAGGGTGATTGTGGAGCAATTGGTGGAATGAAGATTGGCAGGGGAAACCGAAGTACTTGGAGGAAACCTGGCCCAGCGCCACTTTGTCCACCACAAATCCTACTTGAGCAGACCCGGGATCGAACCCGGGCCGACGCGGTGGGAAGCCAATGACTAACCGCTTGAGCTATGGCGCGGCCCATATTTATTGCAATAACTTCAACAGGCGATAGAATACAACAACTCTCTATTGCTCTATGACTACCCGCACTAGAGCACAAACTATAGGCTGGCCTCCACTTACGGGCTTGGCCTTAAGTCATCTTAACCTTATTCAGAGTTACGCATAAAAACAGTGGATTCAGAAGTACGTGTGTTACCGATTGGCTTGGTTAGGTGGTTATCTATCCTGCCTCGTATCGGAAAGTCCTGGGTATGCATCTCGGCCAGGACAGGGGCTCTCTTCACTGAGTTACGTCACCGGCCCTTCCTTCAGCTGATGGGACAAGAGCAAGGCCTCCTACCCAACACATCGCTCAGCCCATTTTACATTGAACGATATGATGTCTGTCATGGGTGCCCGATAAAGGGGGCTGGGGTAAGGAGTTATTGCGAGGAGCATGCATTCCCTACGGGGCCCTTATAAATTCAGATATTATCCCTGATGCAGTGTAATAAGTGTTAGATAGAATGCTTTAACTGTGTGATAGACCAAAGATTTTAATTACTTTTCAAGCATGAGTAGTATATGCTGCTATATATATTCCAAAATTGATGACATCTGAAACATGCCTTCCGACCGGGCACTGAAAGTATAACTTCTGTAAATGGTAAAGTTTCATTAAACCCAAGACTTAATTAACTGAAAAAGAACTTAATTTGTAATTGAAATATGTCATGTCGGCCAACTTTACCAAATTATTTAGGATTGAAGTGTGGATAAAAGAACTCTGTCCCTTCTTCTCATGCACGACTGTTCTTGTTTTATTTACAGTGCATTCGGTATTTTATGTAACTCCTGCTTCATGCTCCGGGGATTCCGAATTCTGGCCTAGACAACTATGGCCTTCTGCTCTTATTTAAGAGAGTACTTTAAAAGTAGGCCACGACCGCTTTCTTGCACATGCCTCCTATTTGTTCACAATCATATTCCTGAGTGATGCTTTGTTATGCAGTTGATAAGCCGTAGCTAAATGAACTAAGAAACAACATTTGGGGCATGCACTAAAACAGAATTTGAAACACAGATTTATGTACGTACATCATTAATGCTAATTAGGAAATGACCGAAGAAAACCTAAAATTCTGAACAATATTTCTGCGGGTTGTGAGGAAGCACTGGCGCTTTCCAATATTTTTACCCTGGCAATTTTTCATACTTTCTGTTCTCTGTCTACATATTCACCCACACTCTTGTCTAGGATCTGAAAAATTCTTCATCATCACAAAGTATTTCTTCTCTCTGCATACTGTCTCCTATCTCTCGTGTGTTTTTTGTGTCGGTTCGCTCACTCGCTCAGCCCTTGCCCAGAGAAACGCCATCACTTTATCTCTGCCCGTTTCCTCCCACCTCTCTGCCATAGTGTCGCCCCATAGTGACGTTTGGTGGAAGAACCATTTATCATCCATCAGATGCTTTGTCTTCTGACATGTCAGGCTTCAGAGGGTTGGTCGATGGGGTGAGGAGAGAAGGGGAGACCCCCCACGAGTAACCTCATAAATATGGCGTTCGTGCGCACATGCGCACATCTTCTAAGGCCACATATGTTGTTATATGGGTCCATATAATGATATATAAAATATATATGTACACACAAAACAAGTATAGGTATCTGTTTATCTAAGTGATCCATCATAAGGCACACCTATGTACATTTACAAAATATTATGGATGCACTACTATAGGAACCTATTTGTCCAGACTTGTTTTATTTCAATACTGAGACATCTCTTCCGTTTGTGTGTATAGAGTTAGTGTCCTGGTGTTCTACTGTCAGATTCTTATCCAAGGTGACTCTGATCCTAGAAGTAAACATGGTCTTGCAGCCTTTAAACTGACACGAAAGAATTTTCAGATTTTCATTGCAAATGCTGCTCCCCCCACTCTAAGTAAAGTTGCCCCTTGTTGCAGTGATACGAATCTTGCAGATTGGGACCGCATTTTTCCTAACGTCCACTGAAAGAATAATAAAAACAGCAGCATTCTCAGTTACGGGTCTGTTCTGAGGTCCATTACGCGTAAAACTGATTGTTGAATTATGGATTAAGACCTCAGTTCTTTATTGAGAAATATTTGCAGTTTCTTTTATTCACATTTATTTGTTTTATAATTCGGTTGACATGCTCCACAAAAAATCTGATGTGGCCAAGGACGACAATTATAACTGGGGGGAAGACGAGCATGGATCTCAAGTTGTAGCAGAAAAACATGGAGTGGAAACCATACTTGGGGCAACTAAGTGCAGATGAGAGGAAACTATAGTCCAGGTCAGCTAGATCTGTCTGTGCCGGTTGAATTAAATTGATCTGGCTTACGTTAGGTTTCAGCGGCTCTAAGTGAATAGAGTGTTCCATAAAAGAGGACGATTTGTTCGCCAGATGAAGGACTGATTATTAGATTCCTTTGGTAGCTACTGAGCTGGATAGCTCTGTCGGTATACCGCAGTGTTTCTCAACCGCAGGGCCGCGGCCAGGTACCAGGCTTTGGCATCAATTAGCGTATAGCGATTAGCTACGAGTTGGACGGCAGAGAGACGGAGTTCGAATTCCGGTAGTGACAAGATTGTCACGGTTCCGGGGTCCTCCTATCCAACGGGTACCGGTAGCCATTCCCCGGAGTAAATCTGCCGAGGCCTGAGCTGACTACTCGCAAAATAGTGCCGCCTGTTACTCCTTTTGGCGTAGTGTTTAATTAGTTAAACACAGGGACAACTTTACCTTAACCTGGTAGTTAATCAGCTACTTTCTCTAAGCTACTTGCAAAGCAATCGATTCTATCCATTGTGTTATAATATTATACAAGAAGTTCTGGGAAGAATTATTCGTCTACTTTGCTTTGACATGACAAGGACCGCATACGAAACGAAATATGTTAAGGGATAAACGCAGAGACTCAGACAGCAAGGCGATCGCATGAGCCTCATAACAAAAATTAGTGGGAGATGCACAGACAGACACACAGCGAGGTTATCTCATAAGTCCCATAAGCCTAAACAGTTATGGGGGATACGCAGACAGATGATCGGCCATGAATGGTTGTACAGATAGGCACATACAGATCCTGTCTTGTAAAATATATAAAGATTATGTAGTGTACAGTCGTTAAATAGGGTAAAAGTCGATATGAATTATGGAATAAGCCTTCCTTGCAAAATCATGCAAAAATGGCAATTCATAGTGAGAATCAAGAATCCAGAAGGTTGTAGTAGATTATTTTAATTTATTTCCGAAGAAATGTATCAAAGAATCTAAGAAGAAAACAGGAACAAGACCAGTGATGATAACATTGGCTGGGGAGTTCAAGCCAGGTTTCTCGAGACTGCGAATCAGTACCCGAGGCTTGGGTCGTGATGTCAAATTTTTGTTTTTTTCTAATCTCAAAATTTTTCAACAAGGCTGCATGCAATTAAGCACAGAGATAAATGTGGTACAATACAAAGCACGCAATGTATTTATTCGGATTCAAAAACTGCAATTTTGCTTCATAACTTGGGCTGTCACTAATGAAAATATCAAGAACGTCGTTATAATTAATCGGTCTGTTAATAAGGTAAGACTCGTTAAAATTATATGTCTTCTGATAGGGCTACTTAAGCTACTGACAATTTTTGTTACAGAAGTATAAGGAGAGAGAAGGTCCATTACATGAGCAAGAAGGAGGAGGCCTTTAAGAAAACGATGACTTCCTGCCTGACAGAATACATAATAAAAAGTCTACATTACATCGGTAGAGACAGCAGCTGAAATATCACGTGATAATATCTGTTTTATACCCAACATAAAATGTTATTTTGATGTTGTTAGTTGGCCAGCAAAGGAAGATCGCATCATGTCGCCCTCCGGCATTAACAATTTCCATACTCTCTGCTATATCATTATTCTAATAGGCTTCAATATCAGCTCCTCGTAAACTGAAAGACAGTTGTATCTAGCCTATAATTTGGTCCTTGGTAGTTTCGCAATCCCACATTTTGTATCTCTGAGAAGTACAGTTCACCGAATAAATAACGGAAACACTTTTCGTAATTCTGTTCTCACATTAAATATAATTAAGCTGACAAAGTAAAGTATGGTGAGATGGACAGGGCATGTAGCACGGACGTGGGCGAAGAGGAATGCATATAGAATTTTAATGGAAAAACCAAATGGGAAAAGACCACTGCGAAGACTTAACCGTAGGTGGGAGGATAATATTAAAACGGATCTTAGCAAGATAACATAGGATGATATGGACTGGATTCATCTGGCTGAGGATGGGGACCAGTGGAAGGCTCTTACGAACATGTTACTGAACCTTTGGCTTCCATAAAATGTTGGGAAGTTCTTGAGTAGCTGAGAACCTAGTGGCTTCCCAAGAAGGACCCAACTCAATGAAAGTTGTACTTACTTGGAGAAGTATAGATTATCCGATAAATAAAGGATATACTTCCCTCGTAGTTCTATCTTGACATTTTGTATTAGGTTTTGTAGTAGTTGTTAGTTAGTAGTTCCTAGCAGGGTTTCCCTTAACCCTTTAAAGTACAGTGGTTGCTATACATACCACATATTTCTTAACATTAAATAACTCTGCGTTCTACTCCTAGAATATAATTTGCCTCTTCTATGATTTGCAGAATAAGTAGCCATTGTTTATCTGAACTGCATGAATCATGTGCATATGCGTCCACCTGAATTAGGAGAATGCAGCCATTCAGTTCGTTGGTCAAGGAAAGTGAAGTATATTAGAATTACTTTTGATGGAAACTCGTCTGAAATAAACATATGGAGAGCGTAGCAAAGAACACGTTAGCAAGAATTTCAGAGGATTAGCAGAATCGAAATCAGGAACATGAACCTGGACCCTTGCACTCTTTGCAGATACTGCGTTGACTCATCCATCCAGTGGTTATATGGCCCTCATCCCTCAGCTGCTGTTCGCCTTCAGTTCCCTCAGTTCATAGGTGATGACTTCCAGTACTGCCGAGTTACTTGAAGCCCAGTCTATCGCACCGTACACAGTTTTCCCGTTAGTCCTCCTTACTTCAAATTACACTTTGAACAGAGGCATACCGCGGAGATATTACAGGTTCGGTTCCAGATCACGACAATAAAGCGAGTCATACACATTTTTTGGTTTCCCAGTGCATATAAAAGTTATGCTTACACTATACTTTAGTTTATTAATTGTGCAATAGCATTATGTCTAAAAAATGTACATACATTAATTAAAATGACTTTATTGTTAAAATGTGTTAACCATCATCTGAGTATACGAAATTCCTCTATTCGTTGCACGTCACCAGCTCTCTGTTATCTCCTTCATTATATCTTTTTTCCCCCTTGGCACTACAGCCCCAGTGGGCCTAGTCCTACCTCCATGAACTTCTCCATTCACTTGGGTGTTTCTAGATCTTGCACATTCGGTAGGACTCCTTGGGCGGGTGATCAGCTCGTCTCAAGGCCTCTACCTGTACACAAACACAGAAAGACGCGCCCACACAAACTAAACATCCAGGCCCTGAGTGGGATTCGAACCCACGATCCCGGTTTCCAAGCGAGCGAAGACAGTACATGCCTTAGACCGCTCGGCTACCGTGACCGGCGACGTTTTTCTTTACTCGCCTAAAATTCCTTCTTCGTGTATTCTGAACCTTCTGATTCAGAGCGTCCTCTCACATCTGGTACAAAGTCCAGGTTCACATCCATAGCATAACATCGTTCTTACGAATGTTCCATTAAGTACAGATCACAGAAAATACTGGTCAAATGAAACCATTTCAAGAGCTGCTGATTGACAATAGCAACAGGTGAAAATAATATTGTCCCACGCCAAGAATACGGATGCGGGGAATGTAAACATAGGCCAACGCATTCGTTTTCTCAGTACTAGGCGGATCGATAAGATCAGTGTCATGCTTAGGCCGATTTAGCCCCGGAGGAAAGAACCTCGATCACAAGGCGAATGGGCGTCTGCTTGGATCCCAGGAGCAGTGTGAAGGCGATGACCAAGAGACATCTCCATGCTCTTGACGGAAATTTGACCCTAGCCATCCATCCTGAAAACTAGGGCTTACAACTTATGGCACGCGGGCCACACGAGGCCCGAACATTTGTTTGTGCGGGAATATTGTTTCATTTCGCGATATATATATACATACATACATACTAACATTTTCCTCGTCTGCAAAAAGCCCGGCGAATCACTCGAAGAAAATTGGAAAATATGGTTGCTTAATATTCCGTGTATTTTCTGCAATTGATTTAATGTGACACCTAATAAATTAGTTACAAAATGTAATCAGTGTAACCCCACGATAGTATATATATATTTATTGATACGATCCAGCAAACACTCAGGTACGGATTTTCAAGTCCCGTAGACAAAACAAAATTTAATTTCAGAATATATTTTTGAACCCCGTAGCCTCAAGTCTCATTCGTGTGCTTGTGCTTCATAACCTGGTCGTTGAAAGTCGTGGTGGGGGAGGGAGATATATGTATTGGTAAATTGGAACAAATATATTATTTTAAACACGGATACTTTTTTATTGCTAGTGAGGTGGGGCTTAGTCCCTTGTACTGCGGCCACTTCTGGCCAATTTTACCAGCCCCAGATGATAGGTGAGGGTGATTGTGGAGCAATTGGTGGAATGAAGATTGGCAGGGGAAACCGAAGTACTCCGAGAAAATCTGCCCCAGCGCCACTTTGTCCACCACAAATCCCACTTGAGCAGACCCGGGATCGAACCCGGGCCGCCGCGGTGGGAAGCCAACTTGAGCTATGGCGCGGTCTAAACGTCGATACTACTGCTGTCCATAAGATGCAGTGTAGTAACTTAGACAGCTCAGCCGTACTGCAAAGTCGATTTCACATATTAAAAACTATGTCTTAATTCTCGGTTTAATTGCATTAAGATTGACTCTAATGTTATCCGAGTGTCAGTAAACATCAAGCCTTGAAGATATGGAAGTCGTGTACTGGCAAGAGGCAACGTATTCTGAAACTCGAGCGTAGATGGAGATGAGCGGTTGGTTATACTATCCAGCCGCCTTTACTTAGAGAAAGAGGTCCCCCAAGAGAGGGGGTTTCGATGACCCAGACGCGTCGGTGATGTTGCTGCTGCCGCAAATCAATAAGCGGCTACCACGTCAGTAACAAGTTATCACGGGCCCAGAAGTAAGATCAGAAACAAGACAACTGTTCTTACGTAACCCTGACAACATATTATAGAAACGAAAGGGTACAACGTTCATCTTTATATTATTTAACACCTTATGGTCGGATAATGGTAAGGGTTATCACGTTTTATGCTTTAGTCTATAATTGCTTGTCTAGCGACAAAACAGCATTGGATTCAGATCGCTTCATGTATTATATATCTGCTAGAATAGAAGGACATATATATATGTATATTATGATCAAAATCCGGATATTATACAATAACACAAGTTGGAAATTATACATTATTACTGATTATTACGTATAATTTTGGTTAGTCGCTATTTCCGCAAGATACATACAACAGTCTCGAAACAGTTACTAAACAGACAGAGGGGAAGGAAACAGAGCAGAATATTTTACGTTATAGCGCCTATAAATATTCAAGTATTTATTGCAAAGCATTTGGTACTCAATTTCTCCTCCATAAACCTATTTGAATTTTATAATAATATCATTGTTCAGTGGGGGACCGTGGTAGCGTAGTTGGTTGAGGCACTATGCTACAAGCCGGAAGGTCGCGGGATCGAATCCCAATCCTTCCAGCCGCACTATGGCCTTCGGGTCGACTCAGCCTCTAACATAAATTAATACCAGGAATATTCTTGGATTGTTCTTGGGGGTAAAGGGCTGACAACCTTGCCGCCATCTATGAGCCGATTGTCTAGAAAATGTGGGAACCTCAACATCTCACAACCCTATGGGCATCCAAGGCCTGTTACAGGGATGCCCTTACTTTTACTTACTTTTATCACTGTTCAGTAACATTTGTTTACTAAAGTGCTCGACAATACGAAGCAATGTAAATGAGACTCAGAACAATGNAATAATAATAATAATAATCGAGCCCCAAACGGCCATTTACAGAACGAGCAAGTTCAAAGGAAGATAAATAAAGCACACACAAAATACAAAACAAGATAATTTATACTAGGTAACAAAGTAAGTAAAGTAAGTAAAAGTAAAGCTATCCCTGTAACAGGCCGTGGAGGCCCATAGGGTTGTGAGACGTTGAGGTTCCAAAATTTTCTAAACAATCAGCTCAAAGATGGCGGCAGGGCGCGCATCGTCCGACCTTTACCTCAAAGAATATTCCATGAATATTCCTCGTACTTATTCCTGTTAGAGGCTGAGTCGACCCCAGGACCATAGTTCTGTTGGAAGGATGTCAATTGAAAAAAATCCAATGACCTCTACGGGACTTGAACCAGCGACCTTTCTGCTTGTAGCATAGTGCCTCAACCAACTACGCTACCGCGTGTCCCCCCCCCCATTAGGTAATAGAGTAAAAAGTAATAATAATACAATTATTTAGTTTTACATACTAACTCAACAATTACAGAATTCAACTAGAGTTAACAGACTGTAACGGATACAAAGTGAAGGAAACAACACACAGATGGAGGACAAATTTATTTGAATTAATTTATTAAAATTTGACAACAACTGAAAGCCAGTTACATGCAAGTACTAAAGAAAGAAATGCACATTGATATGAACTATGTGTACAAGGAAAAGAGGAAGATAAAATACACAAGAACGTTATACAAAATCCTAGTAAGTGGAATATTATTATTATTATTATTATTATTATTATTATTATTGGTCTGCAAAAGCCTCGTGTATCATTACAAGTGCTATTAAAATATTCACTGTAAATTAATGAAAAAATCTCTATACATTCTAAAAATGTAAACAAAATTTGCTGCAGAAACGGATCTGGCTGACTGAATAAGTTTTGCGCGATGGCGGATACCAAAGCCGAAAATTCTTTGATTTACAAAGTAGGTAACGTAAATTAACAGTACCAAAACTGGAGAACAAATAAGTTTGTTTTTAAAAAATATATTAATAAGAAATAGAGAATCACTGACTTTCCGTCTGGATTGGACTGGACTGGACTGTTGAAATTTCCAATCTATCTAACACTCGTAAGTCATCATATCCCTTATCTCAAGTTACAATGTGAAATTTGATGTAATATAATGTTGCAGATTTTCCTTAAATTCTTTCAAGTTCTGATGAGCCAGTCAGTTTGTAGTAGTTGCGAACAAAAGAAGCCAACTCATATATCGGACTGCACTGTTATACACAGTCATAAAATTATTAAGAATAGAAAGAAAAATTTACTATAACGAGTCGAACCTATCTTCTTGAAGACTAATGGAAAAGTAATAGTAGCAACAGCAGCAGAAGAAGTAGTAGTATTAGTAGTAGTAGTAGTAGTAGTAGTAGTAGTAGTAATTACTGCAGTAGTAGAAATAGTAGAAATGGTAAAAAGTAAAGCTATCCCTGTAACAGGCCATGGAGGCCCATAGGTTTGTGAGACGTCGAAGCTCCCATATTTTCTAGAAAATCGGCCCTTCAGACGACGGTGAGGTTGTCAGCCTTAAGCGCCGGCCGCCCTTTATCCCCCTAGGAAGATACCTGGTACTCATTTTTGTTAGAGACTGAGTCGACCCCAGGGCCATAGTGCGGCTGGAAAGGCTAGGTTAATTTTAAAGAAGCCAATGATCTCATCGGGAATCGAAACCACAACTTTTCGGCTTGTAACATAATGCCTCAACCAACTACGCTACCGCATGTCCTCTTTTTAAGAAAGATTAAGCTGTCCCTCTAAGAGACCGTGGTTCTCATAGGGATCTGAGACGGCGAGGATCCCCCATTTTCTAGACAATCGACTCACAGATAGCGCCGGAAGCCCTTTACCTCAGGAAGATTCCTGGTACTCATTTCTGTTGAAGGCTGAGTCGGTCCCAGAGTCATATTGCGGCCGGAAGATCAATTGAAAAGAAAAATCAATGACCTTATCGAGAATCGAACCCGCGATGTTCCAGCTTGTAGTATAGTTCCTAGACCAACTACGCCATCGCGTGCCCCATAGTAGAAACGGACACCTGGTATGTCCAATCTCCAGTTTCCTAACTTCCCTTCCCTGCACTGAATGCTCCTTTGGTCGTGTGCAGTAGGTAAGGCTTAGAGG